CTCTTCCCCAGCCCATGTCCCTCCACCCCTTCCCACCCAATCATTCTCTCTTAATTCTATTGACTGTGTCCTATTCAATGGTCTGAATGGTCGGGGAGTTAGGCAGTCACAGAGAGAGAGAGAGCATTATGAGAGAGAAGTCAAAGGTGGCCAGGCTGCATCCCTAGGGTTTGCATAGTTTTGCTATGGGACACAAGTGTGCACAACATGCACGGAATTTGGACAAGTTACCTAACTTTGCTGCTCTTGTGTTTCTTCAACCATAAAATGAGAAAATTGAACTCCATGGCCTTTAAGTCTACTCCCTGTTTATCTATGATTTTTTAACAACACAGGAAACGGCAGGAGAATGGAATGATATAATCTTAAAAAGTGCAAGTAAATGAATACTGAGTAGTCTTTGAGTGCCTACCATGTGGCTGATACTCTTGTAAGCACTTTGCATGAACTACTTTAATGACTAGTATCATCCTAATTTTAGAGAAGAGAGAACTGAAGCACACAGAGTTTAAGTAACTTGCCCAAGATCGGCTGCCAAATAGTAGAGTCAGGATTTGAGCTCAGACTTCTGATATCGTCATCCATTTACCTCTATCAAGAAAGGATACAAACAAGATGGTAGATGGCTGGGAAAGTAGTAACCACACAGTCAGTTGTGAAGCTGGGAAGATTTTAGCTTGTTGGAAAGCTGAAATGCCCAGGAAGATGGAGAGAGGAAATGCAGGCCTTAATAAAGAGAGTGTGAGGACAAGGGCCCTCAAGAGCAGAGAAGGGAATGATGGTCCTCTTCCTCCCTCTGCTTTCTGAGTGAATTGCCTGGCCAAGGGTAAGGCCAATGGTGTCTCCTTCCCCTGGCAGGCTGAGATCTCTCCATGGAAAGGAACTGTCTCCCCTGTTGACCTCAGGAATGACCAGCTCCCATCCTCCCTTTCTGTGCATGGCACCTCCGTTCTGTCCCCACAGATCTCTGTGCTCTGGGTTTCTAGTCACCTAGTAAATATTCCTACTTTCTCTCTCAGAGATCTTTCCCCTATTCTGGTAGCTCCTTGGGGCCAAGGCCCTTCCTAGAGGCCCAGTGGGCAGGACCCCAGACCGAGGCCAACCCTGATCCTGTTTCTCTATCCCGGCCCCTTCACAGGCCATGGAACTATTCACTGCGATCAAGAATGCCCTCATCAGCCGCCTCAGAAGGATTCCCTGGATGGATGAGAAGACCCGGAAAGAGGCCCAGAACAGGGTAAGCTCAGTAGTGAAAGACAGGAGTCAGGAGTCAGAAGGGGTGGAATTGAGTATTGGATCCAGAGATCACACTGGTGGGAGGAGAGTGCAAAGGCACAAGGACACATGGCAAGTGTAAACACCAATATGCTGCACACACACACACCCTGGTGACAATATAAAAGGTGGGACCAGGGCAGTGAGCATGAGAAATTCCCTCTGATAGACTTGGAGTAGGTAGGTTTCTTCTACATTTTGTGTCTCTCCCCAGGTCACCCAACTGCAGGTGAAGATGGGGGCCCCAGAATGGGCCCTGGAGCCATCACTGGCCAGACAGGAATACAACGATGTGGGTCCCTGCCCTTGCCAGCTCCTCATTAGTCCTCAGCCCCCTGACCCGCCTGAGTGGCAGACAATCTGTTTACCCGGGGCAATCCCAACCAACCCCTTCCTTGCCCTGGTGTTGGCTGGGTTTTACGGGTGAAAACCCACACTGTGGGTCTTGCCAGCAGAAGAACAGAACCTTTTCAGGTCACGCTGAGCGTGTGTGCACGCATGTACACATGCATTCTTGTGACTTGCCTGAGCGTGTTTCTCTGTGCACTGATTCATGTGAAGCCTGTCTGCCCTGACATGTGGTGGTGTCGTTGTGCTGCTGTCCACTGTAGTATGGATGTCTGTGTGTTGGGGCTTATCTGTCCATGTTCAGATGTACCCATCAGGGTGTGTCAGTGGGTATCTGTATTTGTCTCTGTGTATCTGAGTCACCTCCTGCTTCCCCCCAGATACGGCTTGGACCCAGCTACCTGCAGTCCTTCCTGAGCTGTGTCCGATCCCTCCAAGCTAGAATTGTCCAGAGCTTCTTGCAGCCTTTCCCCTACCACAGGTATAAGAGCAAGGGGACACAGACCCTGCATCTCAGAGATACCCATTCAAGATTAGCAGCAAAGATGAGGGCTTGGGGGAACAGGAACAGCAACAGAAGTTGAGCGGGACTTCATGTCTGGCGGGCGGGACCAGGAATGATGCAGCTGGTGTTCATGTGTGCTCTTCCCATAGGTGGCAGGTGTCCCCCTGGGGGGTCAATGCTTATTATTCGATACCTGACCATGTGGTGGTCTTCCCAGCTGGACTCCTCCAACCACCATTCTTCCACCCTGGCTACCCCAGGTAGGGGCTGTTCCCTGAGGGTGGGCAGGGGATTGCCCAAGCGTGATGGACAGGTGTTACAATGGATGGGACTTGTGGTCGGAGAACTGGGCTCAAAAACTTGGAAGGACTCTGGGAGTAAGACAACCCTCTGTCTCCCCAGAGCCGTGAACTTTGGCGCTGCTGGCAGCATTATGGCCCATGAGCTGCTGCACATCTTCTACCAGCTCTGTGGGTAACAGTGGACCATTGGGAGGTGGGGCCATTGGGAACCCAGGTGAAGGCCCCAAAAGAGGCCAAGAGGAGGAGAAAGGGAGGGCTTCGGGCGGGACAGTTCTGACTCCTTTGCAATGCTTCTGGGGGCCAGCCCAGTCTGTGGTAGCCAGTTGTCCTCATCCTTACATGGCGCCTCACTATTTCTTTACCTGGCCCCATTTTCAACAGTACTCCCTGGGGGCTGCCCAGCCTGTGACACCCGTGCCCTACAGGGGGCGCTGCTGTGCCTGACACACCACTACGAGACCATTCCGTTACCCAGTGGAACCTCCTTCAATGGCTCCCGGACATTCCTGGAGAATGCTGCAGACATTGGGGGGCTGGCCATTGCACTACAGGTAACTCCCATCCCAGGAGCCAGGATCTGTTAATAGCCCTCTACCATCCCTCATGCAAATATAGCTGTAAAGCCTTCTGCCCTTCATTTTCCCACGGAACAGATGGGGATCCCCCTCCTACCCCACAGATCCCTCTTTTCTGGGATATCCATATATCTCTCACAAGTATGTGAGATCTATAGATTTTTTTTTTTCTCCCCTGGCTTAGACCAGTGTGTCTGTGCAAAACTTGGGCAAAAGGGCCACAAACTGGTTTTGGGTGTTGGGTGTAGGGCATCAGACTTGCAAATGGCCATGGGTCTGGAGTCTCAGGGCTACTCGCCATCCCACCCCCATATCCAGGCATACAGCAAGAGGCTGTTATGGAACCATGGGGAGACCATCCTGCCGAATCTGGGCCTCAGTCCTCAGCAACTCTTCTTCCGAAGCTATGCCCAGGTAGACTGCTGCCACCTCCCTCCACGGCTCTCTCCATGTCAGAGAAGTATCCTACTGCTAACGCTTAAAGAACGGCTCCTCCCTGAAATGCCTTCTCCCAAACAGCCCCAACTCTCTGCCACAGAAGTCCCCACTATCATCCTTTCATACCTACCACCTGGGACCATCTTTTCATATTACTATAAATTCTTCTACCAAATTCGGCACCCCCTTCAAATAAAGAAAAACAAACTCTACTGCCAAATCCCTCTCTGAGATGAGCCCAGCTTTTTCTTCTCTCATTTCTTCTCAAAACCGAGCCTCCAACAGACTGTCTCTAGACCACATTCCTTCTCGGAGACCTCAGCCCCAGGTGTGGTCCCCACCTGACAGCACCCCCTAAGTACCATGTGCTCCCCCACCAAGACACTGCTCCCAATTCCTCAATACACTGAAAGACCCCCTCACAGAGTTTTTCCAATAAACCCCACCTCTCAGTCACTGACAAATGGTCTGAGTGCACAGCCCAGGCCTTCCCTCACACGCCTCCTACCAGATTAAGTGACGGACAGATGTGTGGCCTGATCCCTGCTCTCATCTCTGTCTGCTGTCTTTAGTCACCACCCTGGCATTGTTCAGCCTCGTCCTACTGACCCTGACCTTCCCTACGATTCTGCCTTTCTCCTTACCCTGGGCTCACCTCTCTTTCTCCACAGGTGATGTGTAGGGAGCCTGGCACCCAGGAGCCCCAGGATCCTCACAGCCCACCCACCCTTCGAGTCCACGGGCCCCTCAGCAACACCCCAGCCTTTGCCAGACATTTCCACTGTCCACAGGGTGCCCTCATGAATCCCTCCAGCCACTGCCAACTCTGGTAACCTGGCTACCACAGAGACTTCAATTCAGATGTCACAACATCTCCCTGCTCCAACCATGGGATCAGGCAGTAATCTCCTTTCTCCTTCCCTTCCAAAAATAAAAGCTGGCACTTGGCATCTGCCTGTCCCTTAGTGACTCTTTCTTGATATGTTCTATGCCTAGAAGTCAGAAAAGATAAGAGGAGAAAAGGCCGAGAGAGTTCCAGAGACACAAGAAGAGGAGAGAACCGATGATTGGTGAACTAGTGGGTCTAAAGGTCAGTGGGCTACAGGTCCAGCAGTCAAACGGACCAGTCTGAGACAAAAGGGCTTCAGTTAAATTTCAGAAAGCTGCCCCCAAGTGTTTTCAGGATTTTTTTGTTATTACTTTTATTGTTGCTGCCCCCTTGCCCTAATGTGCTCTCCCGAGCAGAGCCAAGAGAGGTGTGGGAGAGAGAAGTGCAAGGGTCTGGTGTCTCAGGACCTGGGAGATGGAGCTCAGAGGGTGGGGAGGCAGTGAGGCTGTGGCAACGGGTGGCTGGAAGGCTAGTGCCAGGATCTCTCGGATGTTGCATCCTGAGGTGAAGAGCCACTGGCCAGAGGCAGGAAGCCATGCATATGCCTCCCATGGGAGCAGTGACCTGGAGCCCGGTGAGGAGAGAGGATCAGTAAGCTATCATGAAGCGGAGGTAGATATCCAGGTCCTCATCCAGAAACCAGGCCACCACCTCAGCCTCCATGTCCCTCATAAAAAAACCAGGATGCTGGCCAGATTGAAGCAGAAGGCTAGGTCCAATAGGTGGTCACGAAGAGCTGCAGTGTTTGAAGTCTTGTCATCTTCCTGCTGGGCCATGTCCACAATCTGCCACATCTCACCCACTGAGGAGGCCACAAAGTGCTCTTCAAAGTGCTCTTGATCCTGGTCTGGAACAAGGGAGAGGGGAAGGCACTGAGGGGGCTGATCCTAACCTGCCCCTACCCCAACCCCAACCTGTGCCAGAAATGGGACAATGTTGGAGAATCTGGGAAGAAGTTAGGGCCTGGGGCTTTTAGCCCAGTTGTGCAGACCCTGTCCTTGACCAAGGGGGCAATGCTCCATCTAGAGGTCTCTTCCCATCTGTGTTCAACCACAGCACACACACCCCATTTCCACTTCAAACTGTCTCCTCCAAAGCACAGTGCACCATTCAGAGATGGAGGGACCACCTTAGAGAAGGACGGAAACCAGAGACCCTTCCCAGACAAATGCACCCATGCCTCTACACACACAAGACGCTGCACTTTCGGCTAGCCTGTGGTGTGCCCCTGAATATGGCCCTGGCCAAGAACCCTGCTCTAAACCCTTTCCCTGACCCTTTCACACTACAATAATAGGGGGCTGGGCTTGTCTCCCACAACCCAAACCTATCTCAGGTTTCACTCCAGCCTGATAAGTAGTGGGGGACTGACTCCAAAGAGACCTGATCCTTAGCTCCAGACAGCATCCTCTCTTCTCTACCTACCTGTAGAGGGTATCTTCTCGTTCTGACTCCTCTTGTTGGGGTCCAGGCTGCCTTTCTGAGGCTTCACTCCCTTGACCCACAGCAGCAGCAAGATGGTGGCCAGGAATGCTGCCCTGCAGAGCTGGGAGCCCAGGGAAGTCATGGGCCTGCCCATCTGCTGCCTTTGGCCTTCCCTACTCCCCAGTGCCCAGCTGGCTCCCCCGCCTCCCTCCCCTGCCCCTGTTCCAGCCCTTACCGCTTCCCAGCACCGTTTTCTTCCCTTCCCTTCCATAGGACCTCTGACTTCATGAGCTTTGTGACATCACAACCATGGGACTGCCCCTCATTCAGGTCATTAGAGAGTTCCATTGTCAGGCAAGAAAGTGGTGAGTAGCCAGCAGCAGATGGCAGAGGCTTCTAGGATGATCGTAGTGGGTCATCCTGTGGAGAGCAAACAAATGACTGAAGAGTTTGCCAAGTACTTTCACATCCATTTTGTCATGAGATCCACATAGCAACCGGGACTCAAAGTCATAGGATCATCATACCCATTATACAGATGAGGAAACTGAGCTTCCCAAAAGACATGACTCTTGCCCTTAGCATCACCCAGACAATAGGGGTAAAGCAGGACCCTTGACCACCTCTTTTCATTCTAGACATCACCTCTTCCTCTCTTCCATGTGGCCTCTCTCCAAGGAAAGTGGCTTGTAGAGGCTGAGGCCCACAGCAGATGTGAAAATATCCGATCCTCAAGCCCTGGGCTGTACATGAAACTCAGGCCCATCAAAAATGAGGGAGGTGGAGAGGCACAGGTGGAGAGGCACAGGTGGAGAGGGAGGAAAGTGTACATGGTGTGTGTATGTGTGTGTGTGTGCGCGCGTGTGTGAGTATGCACATGCGTGCGTGTATGAGAGACAGAACAGGGTCCCCTCCACCCAAGCAGAAACCATTCCCTCATTCCTCACCCTCCCCTAGACTTTCCTCTCCCTGAGCCTTTGCCCTCTTGTACTGGTAGACTGAAACCCCGCTTCTCTAGTTTTATAGCCTCTTATTATTCTCAGATACAAAGAAAAACTTGTTAGATGCTCATTCTCTAAACTCCTTGCTCGATGGAAGTAGAGTCCTTAGAGAAGAACCAGTGTGGCAGAGAGGTGAGGATCCAAACAACAGATCTCAAGAAACCTGCCTCAGTGCCCCAGGCCCGCCATGCCCATGAACCTGGTGAGCACAGATGTGTTGGCAGTAATGGGCTGTGGCTAATTACCTCCTGGAGCAGAGATGGTTTGGGATGGAGTGGGGAGGGGTGGGGTGAGCTTGGGAGTTAGGAGGAAGATCGGCCTGGACAACCAGAAACCAGTGCAGGCCATGAGCTACAGGAAGGGTGCTGGGGCAGGTGGGAGAAGACTGCAGGCACACCTGGGCTATCACAACCAGCTCACACCACTCCTGGAGCCCATGCATCCCACACCTGAGTGAACCACCAAATGCAGGGGCTGGGCCATGCACAGAAATGTATACCCTTTCTGGAAAGAGAATTATAGACACGGGAGTGCAAGTGGAGACTCCTTCCCACAGATGGACCCCTGCTAGCAGATGAGCTCACCTGGAGGCTCTCAATGCCTCTTGTTTTCTTCCTGCTGATCCAGCCCAGGTGACGAGGTGACTGGGTAGTGGTACAGGAGGTCACTTGATGGTGGGAGAAGAAAGATTCAAGGAAGCAAGTGACCCTGCTCACCCCACCTTGCACTCATTGACCTTCAGGTCCAGGAAACAATGCTTGGGTGGAAAAAAAAATCACTAATCTGGTTACTTTGGGGGAGGAGCGTCTTGGTTCCCGGCAAAAAGAGAAGCCCTCTCATGCTCTGTGCATATCGATAGGGAGGGCTGCTGGGGGTGGGGCACGCTGGTGTGGAAAGAACTGGGTTGTACTGACCACCATTCCTCATATTTCCTCACTACCCACCTGCCCCATTCCCTGCGCTGGAAGAGATAAATCCTGCAGGAATGTAATTGTTTTTATTATAAAAGTATTTGAAAGTAGGAAAAGCAAAAAGGGCTAGTAATTCCACCATTCAGTGAAAATCACTATTAATGTTTTATTTTTTTAAATTTTATTTATTTATTTTTTTTTAAAATATTTTATTTATTTATTTAACAGAGAGAGAGATAGAGAGAGCAGGAACACAAGCAGAGGAGTGGGAGAGGGAGAAGCAGGCTTCCCGCAGAGCAGGGAGCCCGATGCGGGGCTCGATCCCAGGACCCTGGGATCATGACCTGAGCCGAAGGCAGATGCTTAACAACTGAGTCACCCAGGCACCCCAATCACTATTAATGTTTTAAAGGGTAGTATTTAAAACCTTTCCCTACATGGTTGTGGGTAACATGGAGTGGGAGAGTATTTCCTAGAAAATAAAACCCAGGTATGATTCATTTTCTTTCTCCTCATCACATCAGAACATGAGGTCTGACTGGTTTGGCGCCAAGGGGCTCTGGGACCTGACAGTGTAATGAGGGGCTCTTTGGCCATCATTGAGTCTCCCAAGACTGCAGGGAAGCTGCTACCTGAGGGAGAGGGGTCGTAGGTGTTTGTGTCCACAGAAGGCTGAGGGAGCATGAGAAGGAAGGAGGGAGAAATAGGGTTGTGGTGGGGGATATGACAAGGGTGGAGGAGTGAGGGGAAGAAGCCAGAGGAGAGCAAGGAACTCCTTAAAGATGAGGCGGTAGAGTTGACCCCCCACGCAGTCAAAAATCCCAGTGTAACTTTGGACTCCCCCAAACATAACTACTCATAGCCTACTGTTGACTGCAAGCCTTACCAAAAACATAAACTGTCAACTAACACATATTTTGTATGCTGTATGTATTAGATATTATATTTTTGTAGTAAAGTACACTAGAGAAAATTGTTAAGAAAATCGTATGGAAGAGAAAATATGTTTACAGTACTGTACTGTCTTTATCAAAAACTATCCACATAGAAGTGGCCCCGTGCAGTGGGCCTGGGCAAGTGAGAGGGTGGAAACCCAGAGGTGGGAGCCCGTTCCTGGGCCCCCCTCTCTCCCCCACCCAAGACCCAAGGACAGAGCCCTTGGTAGCGAGCCCCCCTGCACCTGCTCTGTGCGGCTCTGACCGGGCCAGCCCCTCCCCGCCCCCACCGCCTCCAGGATTAGCTTTATGGTTTGAGTGTTGCCTCGGCAGGCAGGTGCTCCTTTCTCTGCCAGCCCCCTGCTTATCAGTGCATCTACAACCCCCACCTCAACCTTATCGCTCCGTCCATCTCCTTAGACTGGAAGTCCCAAGGCTTCAGAGGCCATTACCATCCCACACCGCCCCAGTCCCCAGCAAAGCAGAAAACTGCCCTACAAGGTGACCGCCTCCCCCTTCCCGGCTGGCACCTCCCCACTCCCTGGGTGAGAGCATGCTTCCTCCTGTCTCTGGCATCTCTTCCTTTCCTTATTTGTCTCCTTTCAATTCTCCTCTAAAGGTCGTTTTGTCCATCCTTCAATCTTACACTAAAAGAAGGGGGGGTCCCCTGCTCTTGAAGACCCCCAAGGGGAAGGGTCCCAGCCCATGTCCCCCCAAGTCTCTTACATCTGTGCAGGCAGAAGGTTCTCAAGAAACAACAGGTTGTGGTAGATGATTTGGAGCTAAATTTCCAACTTTAATGCCAGTTCTAGTTTTGCTACTAGCCACGGGCCATCACCCTCCCCCTCTGTGCTCTGTCTCCTCATTAGAATATAAAGAGAGCCCCCAACCTATTCCCATGTACCTCCCTGGCCTCCTGAATGACTCCAATTCAATAAATGCATTTACAATCCGAAGAGAAATGGAACCCATCCTATCAGAAAACAACACGAGGTCTTCTGTCCTCAATCTTCCCGCCTACTCATTCCTGGAGAAAGTCCCAAGATTTCTCCATCCACCACCTTGGCTCAGCTCCTATGGTTCCACCTCTGGGGTCTCCCCTGACCGGGGATCCACGAAGCTGGGAAGGAAGACAGAGGAGGGCGGCCCGGAAGCCTCCAGGAGGCTGGCTGTAGGGTTGAGGACAGAGACAACCACAACACGGAGAAGCAGCCCCTTGGGGCTTGGAGCCTATCTGTGGAAGGAGAACCAACAGTCCCTGAGCTCTTATGATTATGCTTTAAGGGACACTTCCATGAGACAGTACAATTATTGGCCTGATTCTACAGATTGGAAGACTGAGGTGCAGAAAGCTCACCTAACTGATCTGTAAGGGCCAAGAGCCAGAATTCAAACCAGGACCTGCCTGATTGCTGAGCTGGAGGGCTTCACTTTCTTACTGTCCTGTATCCCAGTAAGTGCTCACCTTGCTTGTGGGGCCCACCTTCTGGGCTCCATCCTTGCTTCCCCTCTATTTTCCACGGTCTCACCCTCCCTCACCTTCCCCTGTCTCACTTGGGGCCCCAGCCCCCTGCCAGGAACGAAGATCCCTCCCCTCTCCCCTCCCAGCTCTAGGGCAGGTTCTGTGCCCCAGGGGCTCTCTAGAAAGAGCTCCGCCTCCTCCAGGTAAAGCTGCTTTCTCTTGGCAGGGCCCCCAGTCCCCTCAGTGCACGCAGGCATGCACGCGCGTGCGCGAGCGCACAGACACTCACACACACTCCACCCACAAACCGCACGCTGCATACACAAGTCACACAGGAGATAGACTCTCAGTCCCAACCCCAAACAGACTCCGCCTCCTCCTCAGTTGAGGAGTCCCAGACTGGCTCCTTTTACCACATTCCCTAACCTGCCAGTGCCTGAAAGGAGAAGATATGGGGGCTCCTCCACCTAAGGCAGAGGGACCCTGGGTCCAACTCCAGAAACTGCTGGCCTCCTGGCTGGTCAGAGAGCAGGACTGGGATCAGCACGTGGACGAGGCCCACATGCTGCAACAGAAGAGGTAGGCGCCCCAAGTCCTGCTGCATCCCACCCCTCACTGACCTCCGAGCCCTCCGATCCGTGCGGGTGTATCTCCCCCTTGGAGCAACCTGCCATTCAGTGCCAGGCACCGGGCTGTACCCAGCCCACTCGTTACAAACCCCAGCTGCCTCTTCTCATGGGCAGGGCAGGAGGAGACTCAATGCAGATTCAAAGCCAGGGACAAAATCACACCACAGCTCTAACCTGCCCGCCTGGTGGCGGAGGGGTGCGGGGGACAGAAAGGGACCAGACTGAGGAAGCCTGACCGCGGAGAGAGGCACGTGCAGGCTGAGGGGGAACAAGTTACTGGGGGAAGGCATGAGATCCTGCAGGGTTTTGAAGACTTGTTGCCTTGAGAAAGAGTGAGGAATTCCCACGAGTATGAATGAAAGTTGACTGTGTGCAAAAGGGGAGGAGAGTTCTGCTTTGTATTACATCTGGAGCTGACCAGCTGATAAGGGAAACTCAGCTTATCTACCTTTTATTGAGAGTCTACTGTATCCAGTCCTTATCCTGAGGACACGGAGATTGAATGAGGCCTGTGCCTGCCCCTGGGACGCCTTCAGGTCAGGTGGGGCTGGTACACCTGGGGACAGATCATTTTATGGAGAAGTGGCCAGGGCAGGGACCCATCCTGCAGGTGGGCCTCTGCCTCCGAGCATTTGGGGAACTGGTCGCCCATCAGAGAGCTGCCTAGGGATTGGGTGAGCAGACATTAACAATCTGGGGGCCAGCCAGGGCTGGCTTCATGCGCGGCTGGCCTCTACGGTGGCACAAGATCCCTTGGTTTAATGAGCTGCTGTTGTCGACTTGAAATGCTTCATTTTTGAACAAGGAGTCCTGCATTTTCATTTTGCACTGGGCCTCACAAATTGTGCAGCTGGCCCTGGGTACACTCTAAGCCCTCATTTGGGAAAGGCTCCCTGCTTGCTCACCAACCCCCACCCCAGGCCCTGTGAGGGAACTTTTGGCCTCCCTACCTCCCTCCAAACTTCTGGGTGAGAGTAGGGCCGTCTTAGAGAAAGAGCTGGGTTCTGGACCTCCCCTCTGCAGACAGCGGTGGGCTAGAGGCCTGGCTGCTAGGGCTGTGTGCAGTACCCTTGGAAGAGGAGGAAACTCTGGAACCCTAGCCCTGGTTGCCCTGAGCTGGGCGGACCCCCACTAGGTGAGATGGGGAGGGGGCTGGCCCTTACTCTGCTGGTCCCTCCTGAGAGTACTTTTCTAACTGACAGACTTGAGCTCCACCTTTAAGATAAAAAGCTTCTTTAAATAAAAAAGTTCTTCCCCCTGGCTCACAGGACAATGGGAAGAGAGGATCTGGGGCCTTGTGGACATCATGGGAAGCACTGGTCAGTCTGTTTGTCTGCCTTTCATCTCTCCCTCATGACCCTCACCTGCCCTGTGTTCACCTTGGGAGCCCCCACGTGCTTGCCCAGCAGGATGGGCTTCAGCTTTATCTCTTGTTTGGTTCAGCGAGGAGGGGAGAAACAAAGATTAATTGACAAGAGGTGCCTCAGGTTGGATGTCTCCACAGGGTTTCTCCCACTCCCAGTTGCAGAGAAGCCCGAGGCTATGCTCCTCCTCAGGCAGGAACAAGGTAAAACACAGAAGGACTAGATCATCTGTACCCCACGCCAGAACTCCCCCCCCCCCCCACAACAGGGGTATGTACCTAAACAGCCCGGAGGGTATCTGGAATTTTGGCAGCTTGTAAATCTCCCAAGTCCCAACAACTGGCCCATTTTTGCCTCTCTGCCCCTCTGGTGTCTCAAAGTTCCCCTTGCCCAAGGAGAGCTGGTTCAGCAGGCCTGGGAGCAGGGGTGAAAACACTTACTCAGCTAAGATGGATTCAGCCAGGCCAGGCCTGATGGCCTCCTGTCAGGGTCACCAGGGCCACTGGCTCAGCAGCTCAGGCCTTCTGCCCCCCACGAGTCTCCCACCCACCTGAGCCTTCAGCACCCTCCGCCTCCCCCGCCCCCAACTGGGAAGACCTGGTGATGATGCAGCCACAGCGGGAGCCCTGAGCCCGGCTCTCATCCCAGTCTGACCCTCAGCTAGATTCCAACAAACAACTCTTTCCAGCGTGTCACTGTGCACCTTGTGTGACTCGTGTCTGTTCCACGTAGAGAACGTCTCCGATCCTCTCTCTGCCGTTGGCCTCTGTGATTCTGCCTCCACCCGACTCATGTTCGTCTTCTCCCAGGATCCAAGAGTCTCCGCTGCTCCAAGCAGCCAAGGAAAATGACCTGTGTGTCCTGAAGAAGCTTCTGCTGGACCGAAACTGTGACTTCCGGCAGAGAGGTGGGACGCAGCTGGAGTGTGACGGGAGGGGGGCCGGAGGGGCCTGCGCGCCGAGGAGTTCCGCAGGGCTGGTGGACAGTCCCTGCAGCTGGAGCCCCTTCCCCGAGGGGCTCCGGGAAGTGCTTGACACCCCTGTCTTACCCCGCCCCAGGAGCCTTGGGGGAGACGGCGCTGCATATCGCAGCGCTCTACGACAGCCTTGAAGCGGCCCTGGTGCTGCTGGAGGCGGCCCCGGAGCTGGTCAAGGAGCCTGCCCTGTGTGAGCCGTTTGTAGGTGAGGAGTCTGCGCAGTAATGCGGAGACAGGTATGGGAGGGGCTGATGTCACTCTTAACCTGGGCCTCTGAAGGGGGTGCTGGGAAGGGGTGACTGAAGGTTCAGGAAGGTTGCCCTTGAGTTGGAAGGAATGTAGAGGTCCTGGTCTTGGCCTTTAGCATCCAGGACTTTCTCTACCCTTCCTTATTACCTTTCAACTCCTCTCATGTTCCCTGAAGGACAGAACTCTGTTTCTCTCACAGCAACATTAGAATGATCACATATACCCCTTACCACAATAGTCAAGAGTTGGGGGCAGTGAGGTGGACAGCCTATGGGACTAATCGCCCTCAGTCCCAGGCCACCATGGTGGGCCGAGGGCAGAAATCTATGCCAGGACCTGTCAGGGACCTCCTGTCTGCCAGTGGGATGCTGTGTCCCTGGGAGAACTGGGGCCACACCCCGTGACTGAGAGCTGTCTCTGGGCCAGGTCAGACTGCACTGCACATAGCCATCGTGAACCAGAACGTGAACTTGGTGCGAGCCCTGCTTGCCCACGGCGCCAGCGTCTCTGCAAGAGCTACAGGCACAGCTTTCCGCCGCAGCCCCCGCAACCTCATCTACTTCGGTGGGAGCAGGGCCAGGGCTGGGAGGAGGGGGGCGCGGGGAGGCGGGCAAGAGCAAAGGCAGGGGGGCTGAGGCGGGCTCTGGCCCTGGGAAAGCTGCAAGGGGCCAGGCCTTACAGGGCTTAAGGCCAGAGCCGGTTCTCCCCACGGCGCTTGCTCCATCCCTGCCTCCGGTTCTGCCGACAAGTGTCACCAAGCCCAGAGCTGAGACGTGGGGGGCAAGGAGGCGGTCGCTCAGGGACACTGCCCGTCCGATCGGGCACTCACGCCACGGCGCCCTCTGTGTCCACAGGGGAGCACCCTTTGTCTTTTGCTGCCTGCGTGGGCAGTGAGGAGATCGTGAGGCTGCTCATTGAGCACGGAGCTGACATCCGGGCCCAGGACGCCCTGGGTAAGAGCTGGGGTCGGCAGGGGACCCGGGATGCCGGGGGCCGCGAGGGCAGGGCCCCGGGCGGGCAGGGCAGCGGCGGGGCCTTGGGTGCAATGGCCACGCGACACCGCGTCCCGCCCGCAGGAAACACCGTGCTGCACATCCTCATCCTCCAGCCCAACAAGACCTTTGCCTGCCAGATGTACAACCTGCTGCTCTCCTACGACGGGCGCGGGGACCACCTGCAGGCCCTGGACCTCGTGCCCAATCACCAGGGTCTCACCCCCTTCAAGCTGGCCGGAGTGGAGGGCAACACTGTGGTGAGGGCCGCTGCCCTGGCCCCACGGCGTCCTCCTAAAGACCCTTCTTCCCGAGCGCCCCACAGGGCGGCGTCCCTTACCGCGCACTCCACCGCTAACCGGCAGCCTCCCTGCCCGGGGGCTTGGAGAACGGCGCTCCTGGAGCTCTGCTCTGGTGCCCCGCAGTGCTGTTCCCTGGGCCTGTCCTCTTCTCTCCGATCTTTAGAGGGTCTGTGGGAAAGAAGGAGAAGCAGAGACAGAAGGAGGTTCACGCACCCGAGGCGTGGGGATCGCTGGCTGCCCGTTGGTGCCGAGGAGCGGGCAGCGGCCCTCTTGGGGGGCGTGGTTCCCGCGGCCGCTTCTCCCCCTGACCCTCCGGCTCCCCGCTGTGTCCTCGCAGATGTTCCAGCACCTGATGCAGAAGCGGAAGCACATCCAGTGGACGTACGGACCGCTGACGTCCACTCTCTACGACCTCACGGAGATCGACTCCTGGGGGGAGGATGTGTCCTTTCTTGAGCTCGTGGTTTCCTCCAAGAAGCGAGAGGTACAGATGCTACAGCGGACCAGGGGCTGTCAAGTAGCTGAGCAAAGCCTGTCCGTTTCCTTAGATCCTGGGTCCAGACACTTCCCTGCCTTTTAATAGTTGGGGATGCGAACAGAACCCTTGGGAGAAAAGTCCAGTCTGACTGCATTTTCCCTCTGCCCATCTACAGCCCCTCTGCTTACCTTTGTCATACTAATGTTTTAGCTGAAGACCTCTCCAAATGGAAGTCGCTTCCTATCATTCATTCATTCACTCCACACTGAGCACCTTTTGAGTCCCATCTGCTGTATGAGACTACAGAAATAAATCACAGTTCCTCTCAGTCTGCTTCCTCAAATTCTGGTCACTGTCCTTAGTAATTGCAATGGGTACAACATATGCCATCAGAGAGGTCTGGATTATGCACAGTGGCAGCAAAATGGAGGTCAAGCAACTTGTACTGTATGGGCCAGAGAAGATGTCACAGAGGAAGGGCTTGAGCTGAGTCTTCAAGGGGGAGTTTGAAATCACCAGAAAGGAGAAGAAAAAGAGAGCTTTCCAGAGTGGGGGGAACAACTGACACCATTCAAATAGTACTGAACTGAGTTACAGGCAGGAAAGGGAAATTTGTTGAAGACTCTAGTAGAGAGGAGATAATGCTTCGAGCCCTCAGGAACCTCCAAAATAGTGACAAGATATAATTTCCATTGTTTATCTGAGACACGGCAATCCTAGGAACACTTCTAGGACTGTAAAGCTCAGACAATTGTTAGTAGTGACAGACAGAAGAAAACTTGAAAGGTCAGTTTGTATGATTTTGCTCAGAGAATATTCCTGGAAACAAATAAACTTCAAGCAGGATTTCTTAGAAATTAGAACCCCTTAGATTCTAAGGGGTTCTGGGTGTCTCAGTCGTTAAGCATCTGCCTTCGGCTCAGGTCATGATCCCAGGGTCCTGGGATCGAGCCCCGCTCCGGGCTCCCTGCTCAGCAAGGAGTCTGTTTCTACCTCTCCCTCGGCCTGCCACTCCCCCTACTTATGCTCTCTCTCTCTCTCTCACTCTGTCAAATCAATCAATCAATCAATCTAAAAAAAAGAACCTCAATCCCTCTGCATGAATTGTGCCAGCACAAATCCTGGGTCCCCAGTTTCAGTGAGCTCTCAGTGTTCTCCAACAGGTTTTATTCTTGCCTTGATCAACTACTTTTCCCTTCCCTCAAAATTTCGAGCCCCGCTTACATCCCTCCCAGCTCTCCCCCTTAGCTCCATCAGAAGTCCAGACTCCCACATTACGGCAAAAACAGAGGCTCTCTGGATGGAGCTGCTTCCACTTCCTGCCCTGACCTGCCAAACATCTTAGAAACTGCCCACTGCCTCTCCTTCCCTCTGGGTTCATTGGAAAAGATATTCTTTTTGCTAATGGTTAATTCCTGCAGCTATGCTTTGAATTCGACTTTTCTTACTTTCTCAGGTGCCTCATCCCCTCCATCCCCCTCTCTTGTTTGTGCTTAACCCCTCACCATGTACTTACATCAGAGCCCCAGCCCACCCTGGGGGCTTAGGTTATGGCCACATCCAACCCTCTGTGCCTGTATTGCTCCTCTCCCGTCCACGACACTTGCAGAGCAAATGTGACTGCTTCCTTGCTTGACCCCCCAATGCTCCCCACTGCATTCGGAAAGATCATTCAAACTCCTGACTGTGGCATTCAGAATGTGCCCTGGTCTGCCTCTCATCTATATTACCCCCTTATAACTCCTGCCTGCCACTCCCCACAGGTCCTCTCATGTCCCCAGACACACCTAGCTTGCATTTGCAGATGACCTCTCCCACCTCCCTGCCTTGGCAACTGCCACTACTTCATGGGAAGATCTTCTCTAGCTCCTTCTCTTCACTCTACTAACTACCGCTCATCCCTCAAAACTTCACTGGTGCTCGACTGCCTTGTTTTACTTCTGTGACAGTTCCCCTGCAGCACTCACACGAGGCTCAGCGTAGAGTGGAAATTTACTAGTTGTCTGAAAATGAAATGGCTAGCTAACCAAATGAAAGACGATGGCGCTGTTAGTGCCCTGCCTTCTGGGACCGGTGGGAAATCCTGCACGCCTCACAACACTGGTCACCCCCATCTATGCTCTCCTTCCATGCCAGGCTCGCCAGATCCTGGAGCAGACCCCAGTGAAGCAGCTGGTGAGCTTCAAGTGGAAGAAATACGGGCAGCGGTACTTCTACATTCTGGGCGCCTTGTACACGCTCTATATGATCTGCTTCACCACCTGCTGCATCTACCGCCCCCTCAAGTTCCGCATGGGCAACCGCACAGACCCCCGGGATAACACCGTCCTCCAACAGAAATTACTGCAGGTGACGCTTCTTGGAAGGGGATGGAAGGGAGTGGTAGCAGGGGGAGTGGATGCTTGGAGAGCAGAGGGGGAAGTCGGGAAAGGCACTCTGCACTGAGCTCCAGCAGCTGCAGGCTCCTGATCACCCAGACACAAATCAGGCATGAGATAGGAGACCAAAAAAGGCGACCTAATGAGCAAAAGTGCACTTGTCCAAGGAGCTGCTGTGGTTTTTCTTACTAACCCTGAAAGAACACTTGGTATTATGAACACCATACATTTGTCAACTTCCTTGTAATTTGCAAAGCCTATTGTTCTAAAGGGAGGAAAATTGTGCTCCAGGTCCATTTCTGAGTCCATTTCTGGTCTGTGAGGGCAACACAGACATCCCTCCTGGCCTGTATTCTCCTCTGTCAATATGAGGGCGTTGGCAATAATGTGTCTGCTGTCTGACCACCTGTCGGATCTGCTGAAGAAGGATGCCTGGATTAAGTAGCTGGTGGAAGTAAATAGTTTTTGAGGTTCCTTTGACGCCTGTGGGCTTGCCATTCTGTATGTCCTTCAGAGACCCAGGGTGGTGAGGATGGCTCAGTAGAGGTGTAGAGGAGCTCTGAGAGTCTGCTGTTGAAGGGAGCAAACTCTCCTTTGTGGGTGACAAATGAGTAGACTCTAGTGAGTGCTCCCAAACGTATGTGGTCAAGTATGGCTGCATTGGGTTGGTTTACCGTTCATGGGTAACCAAATTTGTTGTCCCAGTGACCTGAGATCGCCAAAATTGAGTGCATGTACATGGGCAGACAGCAAAAGACAGAGGAAGAAGAATTTTTCCAAGCAAGTAAGAGCTAGGTGACTGGAGATTTATGTTCCACCCAGGCTGGGCCAGCCACAGGTATGATGGAGCCTAGGCTAAGAAGAGGGATCGTTTGGGTCAGAAAGAGGACATAAGCCGCTGGCCCAGTCAAGGAGCAAAAACCCTGAGTCAAGTTAGTGGAAGGCACAGAGAAGCAACAGAGTAGAGCCTCACTGTACCCCAGAGTAGGTCAAGACACTCCATCTCTCTTGCTTCTGTAACTGCCTCTCAGTATATATAGTGTGCTCATGGATCCAGAGCCAGTCTCTGACTGAGTCGGATTTGCTGTCTGGGGAGGATGATCCTGAGTGTGGTGGGGCTGCCTTGGGTGGGCACCAGTGTGCTGGGGGGAGGTTGTGTCCCATGCGTCTCAAACTGGGCATGAAGGTTGGCCCCAGTATGGAACCCACAGAGGGGGAAGTAAGGACATTAAGGAGATGGCCCAGTGGGGTGGGCGAGGGACTAGAAATGGGGAAAACTCATACACATGAATGAGTTGAGGGCAGCTGGGCTTTTCCAACCTTCCAGGCCCTATTTCTCAGATGTGTTGTTTTCCCAGTCCTCCTTTGTCTTAAGCTTACCTGGGATTTTCTGGATTTAGAATGTAGATAGCATTCTGGCCTAAGAGTTGGGTGATGCTGAACAATTGATTACTCGGAGTCTCTTCTCTATGTGCCCCCTTTCTCTTTGGCACAGGACTAACCTGTTCCTTTGATCCAGATAGTCTCTGTTTAGAAGATCCCCTCCCCCTTGCTGCAGGACTAGGTGGAGCATAATTATAGCTGGGAGCACCTCCCCTTCCTTCTTTTTTTTTTTCCTCTTCTTTCCTCCCCAACCCTTACCATCTTTACCCTTTTGTCTTCCACCTAGATAATAGATACTTTAGGCCAAATAGGAGACTCTTAACTTTCAAATGTTCTTTTCCTGGTGGGAGGGAGGGGCTCAGAGATTAAGAATGCTTTTGGAAGGGGTTCAGGTAGCGAGGACTACCAGTGGAAGCTCCCTACTGTTTGGCGTTCCTCCTTGAGCCTTGTCCTGAGTTTCTGGAATATCTATGTCCTCTTACTCAATAGTAAGCCCATCTGGATAATATCAGGGGCTCCTGAACTTATCACCATGATCTGAAAGATCCTGCTTTCACAATGTACCAGGCTTGTTAAATAATAGGAAATTCTCCCTTTTTTCCCCCTACTTTTTATTACTTGAGAGTCTTAGAAAAATGAAAATGCACCAGTAGTGTCTTGACTTGATTAATATAATTGTTGACATGTTGGTTAGCCCATGGAGCTTTATCTTAGACAAATGAGTGCTTTACTATCCAATTATACTAATAAATCTGGATGCACAGGGCTCTCAGTCACTGAAGGACTTCCTCTGTGGATCTCATGGGATCCAGAGAAGTTACCAGGTTCCATGAGAGCAGCCCAGCATCACCTTCTCAGGACAGTTGAAACGAGAGGAAAAGCTCATCTGTTCATTGCAGCGGCGCAAACGACAGAAATGCAGACAGAAATGAGGATGGAGTGAGTGTGTCTGTCCAGTTTTAGAGATATCTTAGGGGGTTACTGCACTCTAAGGTGCCTCATTGTTCAGCCATAAAAGTTGTGCTTTTCCAGAGTTTCCTAAGAACTCTATTAATTGAGTTGATTTCCTACCTCCATTCAATGTCTACTTGGTTTAGGCAGAACGATATGCACTGTAACGCTAGTTCTCTTGGGTTTCCAGGTGAGCGGAAAGCGCCAAGTGTAGGGGTCGGGTGGCTTGGGTTTTAGTCCTAACTCTGAAACCAAACAGTTGTTTGACCTTGCACAGATCCTACCTCTTACTAGATTGGTGGCTTTTAACCAAGATGGGAAACTGGTAACCATACTAGTTTCTAATAAATCAGAATGTCTGAGGCTGAGGCCCCCTGTCAAGGGTCTTTTTAAGAACTCTTTGAGTGATCCTAATATTCAGCCAGGGCTGAGAACTACTGGCTTTTGTTTCTGATACCTATTCATCTACAACTTCCCAGTCTTAAGTCAATCCCTCTGATCCTTTAGATTCCTGATGTGCTGTTCAGCAAGAGGGCAATGCTCTCTCGTTGAAATTCCTCTTTGTCTCCTGAAGATTTCCTCGATCTCTCTCCTGCCCTTTTCCCAAAAACATTTCACTAATTTGTTCATTAAGCAAATAATCATAGAGAGCCTATAGAGCCTGGACATTGTTGTAGGCATTAGGAATTCAACACGGTCTGAGCAAAACACACATGATCTCTGCCCTTTTGGAGTCTACAGACTGGTTTACCTTAGGTAAATGAATAGATATTTCATCACAACCTGTGATCGTTACAAATCACATTATGGTTTCATATGACAAGAAAAAGGACAGGATGCTACAAGAGCTTGTAATAGGGGCCTAGGCATGCTGAAAAGCCAGAGGCGGCTTCCCCGAGGAATATACCAGCTAAAGGTGGGGAGTTAGTCCTAGGCAGTAAGCATGCACCCAAAAAAACCCTGCCGCAGGAAGAACTTGGCCAACATCTGAGAACCGAAAGAAGAGCTAGAGCACAGGAGCTGGGCTGGGCGGGAGCTGCCAGATGAGGTTGTCTAGGCAGACCCTGCTCAAATCCTGAAGGGCCTTGCAGGCCATCTTGAAGATTTTACTTTCTGTGCCAAAGGTAATGCGAAGCTCAGAAGGATTTTAAATAGGGGAGGGACTTAACAAGACATTTGATTTAGAAAAAAAAATTTATAAGCTGGAGAACAGATTTGAGGACACCAGAGTGGATGTGGGGAGACCAGTTAAGAGGCTGTTATGGTTCAGCAGCAAGAAATAACGGTGGGTTGGCCTAGAGATGGGCTGGGGGTCGGGGGTTTGGCATCACTACAGCACAATGGATTAGATGCAGGGGGGCAGGGAGCAGACTGTAGCATGAATGACTCATAGATTTCCATTCATTTAAAAGAATGAAATTCTGCCATTTGCAAGGACATGGACGGAGCTAGAGAGTATAATGCTAAGTGAAAGAAGTCAGTCAGAGAAAGACAAATACCATAGGACTTCACTCACATGTGGAATTTAAGAAACAAAACAAACAAAGGAAAGAAAAGAGACAAACAAAAAAACCCCCACTGTTAACGATGGAAAACAAACAGATAGTTATCGGAGGGGGTGGGTAAAATAGGTGAAAGGGATAAAGAGTACACTTACTTATCTCGATGAGCACCAGGTGATGTATGGGATTTTTGAATCACTATATTGTACTCCTGAAACTAACTTAACACTCGATTTTAACTATAGTGGAATTAAAATTTTAAAAAGGAATAGAAAGAACACTGTCCTAAGAATAACTAAGAAAGCAGAAAACAAATTGAATAATTCAGGAATCATTTATTAAATATTTGCTTTGTGCAAAAAAAAAAAAAAATTGTCTTCCACCTGTCGTGGTCAGTGGGATTGATTTGTCTACACGTCATTATTCCTCACAAGCTGTGAATGACCCAAAGCACCGCAGCTATTTGAAAACCCAATTGACATCCAGCTCTACACAATGCTGTTCAGGGATCCTAAGCACTTTATTGTGGGATAAGCATAGCAAATTAAAGAGGAAAAGAGATGAACAGAAGAAGGGAGGCTGGTAGGTAAAAATAACACGTGCTGAGTGCTTGCTTTTTGTACTTTACAGGCATTTATCAGTGCTTGGGGGAGCTGGTTCAAATGCAGATTCTGACAATAAAGTTCCAGTGCGACCGGAGATTTCTAACTAGCTGCGGGGGGGGATGCTGATGTTGTGATTCTGTGGACCACTTTTTGGATGACAAAGCCTTACAGCATTTAATCCACATAGATACCCTAATTATTAAGGAAAAAATATCACCATTTTAAAGACGATCAATCTGAGGCCAGGAGGGGTTAAGTACTTTGGCAAAGACACTCAGCTGGAAAGGGCAGCCCTGGGATCAGGGATTTGGTCTGCTTCACTTCCAAACTTCGCCTTTCCCTACCAGGCTAGGTCATTTCTTTCTCCAGAGTGATGTGCTGGATCCCAGTCATCTTTCTTAGTGGCCCAATTGCCTGAGAAACTCATGTCTCTGGACTTTGAGGGCCCCTCAGGGCCTGCCACAAGCTCAACTTTGTCCAGCTATACCTCATCTCTCGCTGTCAGGACAAGGGACGCCGAGTGTGAGGGG